TCCTTCCGTTAAGTCACCGTTTATTAACCGCTTCGTTAACTTTGTCAGTTAAATTTCTTCCGTTAGCCCGCTTCGTTAGCTAACTTTCGTGCTGTTTTTTACATAGCATCCAAATGTTACGATGCCAACTGGCACATTATATTGTTTAGATGGTACATCACAGCGTGATTTTTTTAAATGTTTGCTGCGTAATTTTTAAAACTTAATTTAAATGCAAACGTTTTGTTTATTTTATCTTTATTTGCATATTTATTGATAAGTATAAGATTTGCATACAAATATGGCAACTGAGGACAACATTGCTGTGGATAGTTTGTTGGATTTTTTGTGTGACAAGTACTATTTGAAAAAAAAAAGATTTAAAATATATTAAACAGTCAGGTCATATTAGTCATATTAAACAGTCAATATATATATATATATATATATATATATATATATATATATATATATATATATATATATATATATATATATATACATATATATATATATGCGCACTTGTTTCAGAAACGTAAGAACCGTGGTTCAAACCCCACCTCTGGACAAGTTTTGCGACATCGGTTGGGAAGGAGGCGTGAACTTCCTATTAAATGCTCTTCCGCGGTGCTCTGTGATAAGACCGTAAGGACTTCTTGGGGCACCTAAATCAACAATAAAAAAAAAAAAAAATATATATATATATATATATATATATATATATATATATATATATATATATATATATATATATATATATATATATATATATCGATGTAGCAGCACTCCACGGCGAGTCAGGCTATTTGTCAGTCGATGTATGTACTGAAGCCCCCAGCAGCAGGCTATTTTAGTATGACGCCATCATGCTCACCTAACTCAGCAGTATAAGATATAAGAGTTTTGCATATATATATATATATATATATATATATATATATATATATATATATATATATAGTCTTGCATGTCTCTTGCGTAGCATCAAAAAATATTTCCCATAAACTGTAGTTTTAAAGAGCGCGTTAATAAACCAGACCAGAAAAAGTTTTAAAAATTAATTTTTTTTTTTTAATTGATAGACTGCCTGGCCAAACCAAACCCTCATTCGATGTAGCAGCACTCTCTTGCGAGTCAGGCTATTTGTCAGTCGTTGTAGCAGCACTCCCTTGCGAGTCAGGCTATTTGTCAGTCGATGTAGCAGCATTCCCTTGCGAGTCAGGCTATTTGTCAGTCGATGTAGCAGCACTCCGTTGCGAGTCAGGCTATTTGTCAGTCGATGTAGCAGCACTCCGTTGCGAGTCAGGCTATTTGTCAGTCGATGTAGCAGCACTCCGTTGCGAGTCAGGCTATAAGATAGTCGATGTAGCAACATTTACGCATGTTTAAAAAATGTTTTTTATTAAATCAATAACAAAAACACCACTAATTAAAAAAAACTTTCTAGTCGTTATAATTGCGGTTTTTTAAAATTTTTTTAAAAAACAATTAAATTTAATGTACTTCCGCATAAATTAATTGCTTTGACATTTCGATGACAATCAAAAACAGCTTAAGAGACGAGGTAATTAAAATTGTAGTCGTAAGAGACTTTTTTTACATTAAAATGCTCTTAAAGCGACACTATATGAGTATATATATATATATATATATATATATATATATATATATATATATATTTACATACATATATATTTATATATATACATATATATATTTATACATATATGTATATCTACAATTAATATTATATTTACATGAATGCATTCATATAAACACATACATATCTCTTAACCCCCCACCCCCACCCTCTCATTTTATTTGTAGAATCGCCTCTGCATACATACATACATACATACATACATACATACATACATACATACATACATACATACATACATACATACATACATACATACATACATACATACATACATATAGTAATTTCGCCGGTTATCCGTTTCAAAAACCGGATAACAGTTCTCATCAATTTGCGGTTAACCGACTATTCTGTAAATTAGTGACGCTTTCTAAAAACAGGATCTTCTAAATTTCAACGAACGTAGCGTTTTATACTAATTTTTTAAAAATTAATGTTAAAGTGTACATTTTAAAGACAGTTAATGAATACAGTCCTATATTATACATTTATAACAAAACATGGAAAAAGATATATATTTTTTTTATATTATAATATGATATACCTTTTTAATTATATAATTAAAAAAGGTAGGAATAATATACAAGTATAGTTTAAATGTTTTAATATCAGCGGATGTTTTAAAATCATTCTCTCATATAAAAACATTTGATTTGGAAAAATGAGATGTTATGTTATGAAGTAAATTTTTTGGCATATATTTAATCTAGCGTATATTTAATCTAAGTCCGCATAACTCATTTGTTATGCCGACATAGATGGAAACATAGATAAACTTGAATGTTCTCAAAACAACTTGTTGCGTAAAGATAATATAAAGAATATTTGCTAACACTAAAATACCGCCAAATCTACGAATAAATTCTATTGGTTCAAAAATTACGCTGAACAAGCGAATTAGAGTTCCAGAATATTCTGAAGAAACTTTCTAAAAAATGTATTGCTTGAGTTGTAATAGCAATAAATAAATCTTTGAGATTTTTATTGTAAAATGTCACTTGTACCCCTTGGCTTCTGACCCACTCATATTTGATATTCGAACAAAATCCGGTTAACCGCAAAACCGGATAACCGGCGAAATCACTACATACGTGCATACATACATACATACATACATACATACATACATACATACATACATACATACATACATACATACATACATACATACATACATACATACATACATACATACATACATACATACATACATACATACATACATACATACATACATACATACATACGTACATACATACATACATACATACATACATACATACATACATACATACATACATACATACATACATACATACATACATACATACATACATACATACATACATACATACATACATACATACATACATACATACATACATACATACATACATACATACATACATACATACATACATACGTACATACATACATACATACATACATACATACATACATACATACATACATACATACATACATACATACATACATACATACATACATACATACATACATACATACATACATACATACATACATACATACATGCATGCATGCATACATTCATATATACATATGAGTACATACATGAATATTTGAGACTATATATGATATCAAATATTATATTTGATTTATTTTATTGATTGATATATTTTTTTCAATAATTTTTTTTTATATACAATCTCATATATTTAATATGTGAGATTGTATATTAAAAAAAACTAGTAAAAAAAAATTAAGTGCTAAGATTTGTAACAGGTATTAAATACAGAAAATTTTGAAAAGATAAATAAACTTCTGCGATCACATAATTAGATTATGTGTTTTCAAAAGTATAAATAAATCAGGCTCAGCTTGGAATGTTAAATTTCTTAGAAAAGCACAACTCTAAACTTTTAAATATATATTTTTAATCTTATTTGAGTTATTTTCTTATGCAACCAAGATAAACCTGTTCTATTTTCAGCCATAAAAAGAGTTAAAAGTGGTGATTTATATGGAGATATATATAAATAAACAGTCATCAAACTTAAAAAGTTTGATGCCGGAGCCATTTTTAAAAATTTTATTTTCTTAAATGTTTACTGCGCTTGCGTGTAATAACCTGTCGCTTCTAAACGGCCGTGCCAAAAGTATAATCTTTTTTTCTAGTTTTTCATTTTTTTTAACATTGTGTTTACCAAAAATAGGCTAAAGCTAATCGATTCAAGCTAATGTTCTTATTTTATTCTTGATTTTTACCATATTTAAGGATCGTGTTCGTAAAAATGCTAAAACAACCTATTTTAGTTGATTTAGCATTATCCACACGTAGTTCTTATTGGTTAGTTTATCCACACGTAATTCGTATTGGTTAGTTTACCTTGAGCAATATCTAAGCGGGCCGTAGAACTTTATAAAAAAACTTGAGCTCCCACTTTTTCAAAAGATTTTTAAAATGGAGGTTTTCTTTATTCATTTTTCAATTATTCAAACTTTAGTCATTTTCAATTCAAAACAAGGCTGATCCTCATTCCCCACTGCTAAACAGTTTTTTTTTTTACACTTTTCTTTTTTTGCAGATTCAAAATTCCCGCAAAATTCCTTGCCAAAATTATCTTTTCTTGTTTTTATTAATAACTTTTTATAATTATTAACTAGCTCAAACTTGAGAGAGAAAAAAATTTCCTGGCTAAAAATATAACAATGCATGCATAGTTGGCATTGCACAATACTAACCCTTAGAAATTCATTACAATTTTATAGTTCTATACCATGTAAAATTGCCAAGCAGTGAATGCCTTTAATAAACAGAAAAACATCAAGTTAGCGTGACATCTAAAACCAAAGCAAAAATGTAATGCATGCTTGTTATATCAAAGATAAATATTTAGCTGTATTTTATTCCGTCAACAAAGTAAAAAGTTTCAAGCCTCTTAAGACCTTAATGCTTAAAAATAAATTGATACAATAATAACAACATTGTGTAATAATAAATTTTATTGTTTCTACGAAAAAACTAATAATAAATTTTATTGTTTCTACGTAAAAATAAGTTTTCACATATTTCTCTTGAGTATTGATATCATCATATATAAGAAATGATTATATTTGTTACATTTAATATATTAATATAAAAAACAGTCTAAAAAATATTTGCTTCCATATTAATCAGCTTCATTTAAAAAAATCATACTTTTTAACACGTGACATTGTTGATAATTTGTAATTATAAAGTTTAGCTATTTTTAGCTAATAACTAAATCTATCTTTAGAAAAATATTTATTTTTAACGAATTTTTCTTTTCGCAATGCTCGTTTGTAAGAGCGATTTTTTTTTAGATATTTACTGTTTTTATATTTTTTTAAATCTTTTATTATTTTTAATTTGTTTTTCTTAGATGTTTATAAGCAGCTTTCTTGCAAAAAAATCTAGAATAAACAAAGAATAAAGCTTACATAAAAATACATATAATTTATGTATAATATGTTAATGACATATATATTACGCGGTATATAAAAAACTATGTATTAGTATACAAAACAAAAAATGAACAACAAAAAAACTGGAACACTCATTCTACCGGGACTTGAACACGAACTAACGATTTAGCTGGAGCATATTCTATATTTTCTTTTGCTGGAACATGTTCTGTATTTTCTTTTGCTGGAGCATGTTCTATATTTTCTTTTGCTGGAACATGTTCCATAATTTCTTTTGCTGGAACATGTTCTATATTTTCTTTTGCTGGAACATGTTCTATATTTACTCTTGCTTGAATGTGATCATTATGGAAAACGTCTTTAATACCTTTTATTATCAATTCTTTTACTAAAAAACATAAAGCAAAAATGATAAAACTATATAAATACATAATATTTGATAAACAAAGAATACTTAAATTGAAAAAAAACCATTATAAACATTGTAAACAAAATCTCTTTAACTCTGGGAATCGTTATCAAAACGAGGCATTTTTTTAATATTATGTGTTTGAAAAGCTTATATTTTTCATTTATCCAAAGCTATATTAATTATTGCAATATTGGTTCGGCAAGTATCCCTCATGTTAAATAAAAAATATTTATCGCAAACAAAAACAAAAAAGCAGTCTGATTTTTTATTCCAACACCACATAAAAAACCAGATTATTTGTCTAAGTCCACGTTTTACATACATACATAAAGAGTACAACCACAATTAAATCATTAATGTAACAGAGAAAGAACATTAATTAAATCTATTCAATTAATCAATTCTTGATTTTTAACTCGTATTTATGTATCAAATAGATCAAATACAATATTTAGTTATTATCGATTAATGTATATTTGCTCATTCTAGTGCAATATCTGTCTGCTTTCGCTATGTTATCTTTTTAACTCGACAAATGCTTTCTGCTATGCTATCTTTTTAACTTCTTCTGACTTTTGCTTCCCCATTTATCGTTCTTCTTAAATTCACTTACTCTTGGTCCGTTAAAACAGATTATGATGCTCTTTAGTGAGCTGAATTTGTCTTCGCGAGTCTTGATATGTGGTCTCTATATATCAAATAACCGGAGGAGGATAAACCACAATACTACTCGTATTAATGTATTTATTTGTGAATGTTAAACTCTAAAATATCAAATAACTAAATTTATATTTATATATTCAGGGGCGATTCTAGAAATAAAATGAGGGTGAAAATATCCTTAAAAAGGGCAGTCTGCTATCTAAAAAAAAAAGATCCTCTAAACTTTTTTTTTTTTTTGGTTATTTAGGTACCCCAAGAAGATCTTATTACAGATCACCGCGGAAGTACATTTAACCAGGAAGTTCACGCCTCCTTTCTTACCGTGACGCAAAAATATGTCCAAAGCTCGTTTCAACCTAGACTAAATTAAAAGTCAAACCCCTGAAAAATGGCTGACTAGCGAATATTTTCTTTAAAAAACCTACTACATGTATGTATATATGTATGTATGTATTTATGTTTAGGCTGTATGAATAGGGAGATTAAAATTTAACCGACCGAAACTTATTAAAAGAAAGCATTTTTAAGTCAAAACATAATGAAATAAATTTTTTATAAAGTTTCGAGTTTTTTTATATCGTTATCAAAACACAATTTTTCTCCGTGCGCTATGATAGTACTAATGTAAGAAGAAAACTTTTCGGTTTATAAAAATCATACAAAATTTTGCATTACTATAACTTTTTAATTTTTTTTACACTATTTAAACTTTCTGCTTCAAGAAATATGGAAACAACACCTTAGACACAGCAATACTCGAACGAAAACACTTAAATATGACAATCAAGCAACGAAAACGCTTAAACATGACAATCCAGGAACGATGACGATTAAACATGACAATCTAGCAATGATGACGCTTTAGCATTACAATCCAGGAACGATGACGTTAAAACATAACATTTTTACTAAAATCCAGCATTAAACTTATATAATTGTTTATCTTCTTTATGTTTTTAAAGAAAAAAAAATTCTTCAATAACACGTTGGCGCTTTCATATGGAATAGTAATGATCGTTATGAATATAGTGCGCTAAAAAAGATAATCTTATTCGATGTTTTTTGGACTTGACAAATAAAAAGTCGCTTAAATTATTTATTAAATTAAATAAGAAACCAAGTAAATAACATCTAAAAGTAAATAAAATTGATATTAAACAAAAACTTTCCGACTTTCATTTAATGGAGATAGACATTCAAAAATTTTTACCTTTTTTTAAATATTTATCGAATTGTTCACATTTTGAAGATGAAGGAACTCGTTGCCGATATTCTATACCGTACCATCTTCGAAAGTTAGGAATGTCAAACGCACTTGTTGCTAAAACGAGTGCTGTTAGAAGACAAAAAAGATTTCTCATCTGGCAATTGTAGCTGCTAATGACAAAAGTTTACTTAATTAATAAAATTTTTTGAAATATTATATAAATGAAAAATTTAAAAGAAACTACAATCATAAACGCGAAAAATTAAAGAGCTTAATAAATCATTTTTTAGTTATAAATAGATTTTAATCCGATTAAACTGCACAACTTTTTGGATTTAATTTGATTTTCCACTACGTATTTTTTTTTAAATTTTTTGTTACAATAGACCAACTAGGGTTGTAGTTCATTACAACAGACCAAATACAATTGTAGTTTGTTGCAACAGACCAACTACAACTATAGCCTGTCACACGTTGATATAACCTTGAAAACAAACAATGAGTTATTAAAATTTGTTTGAAATTCTTAATTTTTTTAGCTAAACTGAATTTGAAAAGAAAAACTGAAGGAAAATGTGGAAAATTAAAGTTCCTTTTTTTAATGAAGACAAAAAAAAGTTCATCAACATACCGCAATTCTTATACAAATAATAAGAAATTGATTAAATATTAATAACAGATTGAATTATTTTTTCTTTATTTGTTTTGTTTAACAAACTACTAAAAAATTCCGCGACTCAGCAACAATCTTAAATAAGTTTTAGACATTATTTCTCTAATGACAAATTAAAGTCACGTTATGTCAATGTTGAATTAAATCTTTTCAAATCAAACACAACAGAAGTACCGAAGTATCTATTTACCGTCCAATTTCTATTTAAAGTAATTCTTAACTAGATCAAGTTCCTTTTGACTGAGTTCATTTTTCTGAGATGCATTTCAGACAGTTTGTTTAAAAGTGCAAAAAGCAATGAAGAAGAAGATTTTTAGAAAAAAACAGCAAAAGAGCTCCAAAAGAAGTTCTTTGTGTTGCTTAGTTGAATATTTTAGTTTTTATTTAAAACTATAAATTGAAATTATCATTTGATAAAAAAATACTGCATTGTTTTTTTAATTCAAGAGTTATTTAAGTTGCAAATAAATTTTACTAAAGAATAGTAAAGTTTATGTGTAAACTTTACATAAATTTACATAACTATATTTCTATAAATTCTCCATAATTTCTTTTTTAAATCTATCCATAACATCATCATTTTATGAGAAAAAGTAAAGTCAAGCAAGCAAGCATATATAGATATATATACAAGAACATACTGCTTGTCAAAACAAAAACCTTCAGTCGATGTATATACACTCCATTGCGCTTATGGCTAATCCGTCGCTTACACTCCGCAGTATGTCGAGATATGTACAGTTACTGCCTTAAAATATCCTTAAAGCCTATACTTAAATAATAAAAAACAAAACAAAAAAAAAACAATAAAACAATAGAACAAAATCAATAATAAAAATTATATATATATATATATATATATATATATATATATATATATATATATATATATATATATAGATATATATATATATATAGATATATATATATATATATATATATATATATATATATATATATATATATATATATATATATATATATATATATATATATATATATATATATATATATATATATATATATATATATATATATATATATATATATATATATATATATATATATATATATATATATATATATATATATATATATATAAGGATGTCCCTTATTCTTCAAAGATTTTATTATTTTAACGCATAGGTCTTAGTTTTGTTCATTTGCTTTTTAAACATTCGAAAATAAAATTTTAATTTGTTTGGAATAAGATAACCTGTGCTTCGACTTGCATCGAATTATGTTCATACAAGTAACGCAATAGTTGCGCTTACTTGCGTTATTTCTTAAAAGGGTGGATATACTCAAAGCGGTTTTTACAATGACGCTAAATTGATAATTGAAAATAGATAACTATTATCTTGATAATTTGATAATAATTGATAATATAAATAGATAATAATTATCTATTTACTATAATTGTACATTGATAGTTATTATCAATTTTGTCACATTTCAAAAACTGCTTTAAGCAAATACGCACTTTAAAAAATCCTGATTCAGTTACTCTCATGATTAACACATATTGTTTTTTATTTAATGACAGTGGAATTTAGAAGGAAAAAATATTTTTTTTTTTTTAGTTGGTGACGTGAATTATCAAATAACAGGCGCAAAGTTACCGTCTAACCGTCAAGTTCTTGCAGTGTTTTTTTTTAACATTCGCAAAGTTAAATTGATTGTTTGTGAAAGCGCAAATCTCGTCATTCAAAGAGTGTGTTGTATTTTGGTAAAAAGTTAGAATCCCTATGAAAGCTATATCTAACTGTGTAAAAAAAAAACTTGTAGATCTTCACCATGCTTGGAGAGAGTTGCAAAAAATTTCTAAAAAAAAAGCAAGATGTTCACTAGCACCGTTAGGATGAAAAAACAATTTATCTTATTTGATAAAGCAAATGCTGATGCTTTGGAACGGATAAAAATATAAAAACAAAGAGAACCAGAGCGTCCAGGATGTTTAAGATATTTTTCGGCTAACTTCGGCAAAAAAAAAAAAGGAAAAAATTAAAAAAAGAAAAAAAGACATTGCCAAATGTGTTTCGGGAGTTTATCGTCATCTCTTACTACACAAGATTTTACACAAACCCAAGAACATCATAGTCAACACACCAGCACCAACCTTGAGGAACCCTTACCACCAACCTCTTAAATTGTAATTTAAGAGGTCACATTTTAAGCATAAGGTATTCTTTCTGAATACTTCAGGTTTTAGTAGAAGCACTTGATCTGAGCTGAGATGATTTCTTGATAAACAAATCGTTCAATGCATTCGCACAAAGAAATAAGATAGAGAAAAACTAGCTTTAAAATGTGTGTTTGAAACAAAAAGTCACAAGTAGTCCTGATACCCCAATGTTTAAAAAGTTTAGAGACATCTGGAAAGCTATTAACCTGGCTTGCTATTGAAACATACCCTGATGTCGTCAAAGAACATTTTAGTAATACAACAACTTGAAGAATTGATAACATTTTATAATAGAAAACTGCAAAAAAATATTTTACGTAATGATTATCGGGAACTGATTGAACTGTCTGTTATTTTCATGGATGGCTAGAGCTATTTACTTTTTAAATACATGTTTGTCGCAACACCAGATCAAAATTAGCGCCAAAGATAAACAAGCACTTTGATTTTATGTCATTCAAGAGCACAAATTTATTTTTTCGATTAAAAATTAATCAGAACTTCCTTCAGAGACCGGTTCAACGTGGGATGAAGATATTATCTGTATAAAGACAAAAAAAAAATTATTTCATAAAGTACAGCTTATGATGCAGCTAAAAGAGCAAAAAAACTTTTTAAAGATTTTCATACTTTTATCCCTGCAAAAGAAGAAGAACAGCAATTTACGCTGTTGTGACAACAGCAATTTACGCTGTGTGAACATAACAGCAATTTACGCTGTTGTGACAACAGCAATTTACGCTGTGTGAGCATAAAAATCTGTATCCAAACTGTAAAAATAAGGAAAATATCCTGCTTGATCTGTAACTTCTCTTATAATAAATATTTTATAAAATATAAGTGTTTCACTTAATTTAGCTACATAACGGAGTTTTTAAAAACAAAAATTTTCAAACTCTTTAGAGTTCTGTCGGCATGTGTTAATGTTGTCGTATGAAGAAAATATTTTCTCTAGATAGTTTCAAAAGAAATATGGGTATGCATTTTGAAATCCAAAAAAAAAAAATTTATCATATATGGAAAACCTGAATACATTTTAGGTTTTGTAAATTTTAAACTTTATTTATTGGTGAATAATACTAGGTTATCTCTAAAAATGTTGTCAAAACAATAATTTAGATGTAGAAGTTGTAAGAAATATTATTTAATTAATATTACTATGGAAAAAGATGTGTAACTAAAGTGGAGCATTGTTATTTTTTCTGGTCGACGTATGCATACATTACGGTTAATGTTTAAGAGATGTAGATTTTTAAATACTACCTAAAGTTTTTTTTCGATATACTAGTGTGTGGATCATGATGATCATGATCATGATGAAAGCATCATCACACTAGTGTGTGGACCATGATTTCAAAGTTGGTAATTTTACTTTTTATAATCTACGTACCCCCTTGTATGTACCTCTTGCGTACCCCCTTTATATGCCAGTAGGTACTCTTTATGCGGTTGATTTCAGCATGAATACTCTCTCCACCTTCCTCTCCATTCTTTTACAACTCCCTTCTTTTCTCCACGAATACAAAATGAGTTGATTGAGTTACTTGGGCAGAAAGTCAGAAATGAAATATTCTCAACAGGGGTGTGGAGCCGTAAAAAAAAAGTAACGACTCCGACTCCGACTCCAGTTGTTGAAATTTTTTGAGTACAACTACGACTCTGACTCCAGTGTTTGAAATTTTTTGAGCACAACTCCGACTCCGAATCCAACTCCGACTCCATCTTCATAGAATATTTTTGAAAAATTCTTTGAATTCTTTAAAAAATATTACGCGATAAGTTAAAAATATTTTTCTGACAAATTTATGAAACGTTCTTTAAGGCTTAGTATGAAAATAAAGTTAATTGAATGTTTTGTACATGCACGTGCAATACTGAGAAGTTTTACTATTGTAATCGGAGTTGCGATTTTGTTTAGTGACTCCGACTCCGCAAAAACTGTCGCAACTCCGCAACTCCGACTCCAACTCCACAGCGCTGATTGTCAAACATTAAATTAAAGAAGCTAAATACTACTCTGTTTTGTTTAACTGCACTCCAGATTCCTCCCATAAAGAGCAGATGACCCAAATAATTAGGTATGTCCGCATCAATGATGAAACCTGTACAATTTAGGAAAGTTTTTTTGACTTCATTGAATGTCACCAAAAATCGGAAAAACAGAGATCACTAAAAAATTAGAGAAAGACGGTTGAATGGCTGTTTGAGTTTATGTCTGCTGTATTCTCCGATTTTTACTTCCTCTCTTGGCGTTCACCATCTAAAAGTTCAGTGGATGAACTTAAGACAGAAGCCAAAAACTTATCTCAGATTTATACGGCAGATTTAGATTCTTCTGATTTTCAGTCAGAAATGTTTTAAATATCAAGCTGTTGCAATAATGGATTTGAGCAGCCGTGGGGCAGTGGTTAGAGTTCAGGCTCAGAACCCAGAGGTCCCAGTTTCGACGCCAGCTCCAGTCCAACAAGCGACATTGGTACGGAAGGAGGCGTGAACTTCCCGTTAAATGCTCACCCGCGGTGCTCTATGATAAGACCATAAGGACTTCTGGGAGCACCTAAATACATACAAAAAAAAAAAAAAAAAAAAAAAAAAAAAATGGACAACTTTGCAAAATCTAGCCCAATTGACATTTTGCAGCTCATTTATAAATATTCATTGACTGATGCTTATCCTAACACGACAATTACTATTCGCATCTTTACTAGTCACAGTTGCTACGCGTGAAAGAAGTTTCAGTAAACTTACGCTTATAAAAAATTACATGAGATCAAATATGGACCAAGAACGTTTGTCTAGTCTGGCTATAGTTTTAATTGAACATAAAGTGGTCAACAACCTTGATTTTAATGACGCCATTTGTGAATTTGCATCCAAAAAAGCTAGAAAAGTGAACTTGAACTGAAGTTT